CACCTAATGTGTAACATTAGCTGATGTGTTCCTTTCCACTGCCATCCCATCCCAGTTTACCCCCAGTGGAACACCAGGTTGGGTTCCAGGGGAAGCAAATTCTGAGATGGTGTTTAGCCAGCAGGAGGCCATTAAAGAGCACTCTTAGGATCAATACTTTTGAAAGGGAGGAGAAGGAAGCAGGAGGGCAGAAGGAAAAATCAGTTGTGATATGGGCCCAGTGACAGACGTGGCTGAGCCATGGGGGTGTCTGGTACTAGAATGGCCCTGCAGGGTAGCTCCAAGTTGGGCTGTGTTGTCCAGGCTTTATACTCACACTGATCCGTCCATTGATGAGGGAGTACGTTCCTGGTAAAACAGGTCTCGCTGGACGAGGCAATTCCTGAAAGGGCTGACAGCTGACGGTGAAATGGAATAGCACCCCCAGCACCAGAGCAGAAAGTTCTGGAAAGGTTCTATCTGGTGTTGACCTTTTATAATCCTGGGATTGGGTATGTGGCCTCTTGGCAAATAAGTTTGGGACACTGACAATGACAGATTGCTAGACACAAGAATTTATCAATTTCAGAATTCATTTTTTGGATTTTAGGAAGTAGTTTTAACTGCCACTTTTCAAGTAGCTCAGTTTTGGGGGCTGCTCATGGCAGATGGCTTGGAGGGAAAAGTAGTGAGACAGGTTAGTTTCTTATTTTAAATTTTACAGTGAATGTCTGCAAGGTTGGGTGTGTTAACATCCCATGCAAGGTCTGAACGGTTCAGTTAAATGGGCAAGACTATTTTCTTCGTGGAGTTTTATTTATAAACTTTTTTTTTTGCTTTATATTATTTTAATGACAAAAGTCATCAGCAATGCATGCCTGAGCCTTCCAGGAACAGAGATACTTCTAGGGTTGGTTATAAAGACTCTATAGGTCAAGGCAGCAGGTCCTTGAACTGTTTTTTCATTATATTGAGGGGCAGTTTTATTGTAAATTTGTTGTATGACTAAGGCACCATTTTTTTTGGTGATGTGAAGTCTTAACTACCTGCTCCAACAGACCAGTACATAGAAACTGTTGACGCTGTGCCCCACTCATTGTTGCAGGTGTTTTGTTTTGTTTTGGTTTGGTTTTTTTGCAGCATTTGAATAAGGCTGTAAGAATAACAGGGTCACTCTGGCTCCTTGTAGGGATGAATTATAAAAGTAGCAATTACAATTTATCAAGAATCATATAATTTTTAGAGTATTTCTCTTTTCACATAGAAAAATTAAAGGAGGTAAGTAATACCACTGTTCACATTTTACAGATGAACCTGAGGCTCTGAGAGATTGAAACTTACCCAAATTCACACAAATCCAATTTTAAAAATCTGTTCATTATTTTTAGTCCAAAATGTCATGACCTTTTCAGTTGTCATTCCTGTGCCAATAAATTAGCAAATTTTCATTGCATTATGTCTGTAAGTATCTAGTTTTCGTTACTAGTTTTACATTTTTCATGTTTTCCTATAGAGAAAACATAGTCCGTATCAATGACTTTTCCAGTATTCATCAGGAGCTAGCCAACTGAGAGTCTCAACAGAGGCGCAACAAATATTCTACCACAGTATTGGTTTTGGGTTGTTATTTTTCCTTTTAAATGTTACGCATAAATTAACAACAGGTAAAAATATCAGTATACTTGTTTCAGCATGTGACTGTGTTCAGCAATGATTATCTTTATTGACTAATTAACATTAAATTACAACCCCAAAAGAGACATTCACCATGATTCATTTGTTCAGAATAGTTCAGAACCAGGGGAGGGTATAGCTCAGTGGTAGAGGACATGCTTAGCATGCATGAGGTCCTGGGTTCACTCCCTGGAAACTCCTCCGAAAAAAAAAAAAAAAAAAGAGTTCAGAGTCTGTGGTTACAAACTGGAAATCATGGCTTTTAATGGTGTGATATGCCAGCTCACAGCAGCTGGATGAAAACTAGAAAGCCCTATCATGACCTTCTTCAGGTGTTTTGCTATCAGACAGTCACAGCCAAAATGTAGTCTGTGCAGTTGAAAAATGACCCCTGGTTCTTCAAGAATTTTGGTGTCTCGTTTGATTTTTCACCTTGCCATGTTGGAAGGTAGTAAGACCGCGGAGGTGCCTAAGATCAGAACTCCTCATTTTAAATCTTCCCCGCCAGGACTCTTTCTCTGTCATAACACCTGTGCTTAGTGATACGCTGAGACCGTAATCACCCACATGGCTTCAACAGGACACATTATCAGTTTCAAAGAAAATGCTTTGAAATAGGGTCCACTCACCTTTGAGGCTGGAAGGGATGGTTTTCTTTACTTTCTGGTGTGAAGCTATCTACTTTAGAGAAGAGTTAGAGAATTATCTGATTTGATTCTAACATCAAAAGTGCGGATATTTGGAAAGTGCCTCTAAGTAACTTTGGTTATAAGTGATAATGTAAACTGCTAAAATGATACCTTGACTTAAAACCATTAGGCGGTATATTCTAATTAGCAGTGAGCACAAATATTTTTTTTTAATCAAGCACTGTTTGCAGGAAAGAATGAGTAAAATCTTAATTCTTTGCACTTAGTAAAGAAGTTTTTTCAACCATATTTGGAAATTACTAATTTTTGTTTGTTGGTCAAACTCAGTTGTCCTTATATTACTCTGCCATAGCAAAGCAAAACAAAGAGAAAAATTCCAGTATGAGTTTCTCTAATAGTAAGTATAAGGTTCCTTATCAATAATTAAAGGAGCCAAGATAGCTCAAATATCAAGAACTGAGGTTTCTAAAGCTTTTTTTCTAAAAGCAATGTGGGCTAATTCAATAACTAACTTCTTTTGGTTGCTACCATATATACAATTACTGTTGTATGTATTCCTGTTACCACCATCACTATGAAATTATACTCATATTCAGGTCCCCTGGGTCCAGAAACAGCAATGCATATTTTTAAATACTTTTAAAAGAAGACTAACTAGCATTCATTAGACACATTGATCTCAACCATGAAATTCTATTTTACTTTGTTACAAAACATGAATCTGAAAAGACTATTTTTTTGAAAGCTGTGATTACAATGACATAACCAATCTAATTAAAAACTTGGGGGGCAAAGTTTCAAATACTCATGATTTTGAGAACACAACAATAAATTCCCTAATAGCTGCCTAGGTTTATTCAGGGGGTGGGGAGATTTAAATATTTAAATCTGTACGTTCTTTAAGTTCAAAATGCTTCTGTTAATAAAGTATAAAACCAGGACTCACGGCCACTGAGAATCACCTTGGCCCCAGTGGGATCAGAAGCCTCCCCCGCACACACAGTACTCAGTGAGGGCGGCCAGCGGACAAGCCCGCCAGCGGAGAGCAGAAGTAGTCCCGGACTGTAATACACAACCAAATGCCCGTGACTGTGTTGAATAAAACTTGATTTACAAAAACAGGCAGTGGGCTGGCTTTGGCCCGAGGGCCACAGTTTGCTCCTCCCTGTTCTATACAGATGGTGCCTCTCTGAAAACGGCAAAGCGCTTCCCAGAGTTCTCGCCAGAGTAATGCCCCCGCACAGTCTACAGGGTACTCTTGACAGCAGGTCCGGGCCATGGCGGAAGCAGCCCGCGAGACCTGAGGGGTTGCTCTTGACGACCCACAGCTGCCAATCAGCATGATCAGAAATTGAGAGAAGCCTGGAAGGGCCTGTTCTATTTCGCTGGGAAGCACGAGCATCTAGCTGTTGTCGGTTTTTGCTAATCTAGGAGTGATAATCAGGAGCTGAGGATAATGGCCATTCTGGCGCTGAGGTGGCAGGTGCAGATGCAGAGAAACAGAATAAATTAGGGATAATAAGGGACCTCAGTAGCCTTAAAGGGCCAGCGCAGCTTCCAAGGCACTAAATGTTAAGTCAGCACTAAGGAGTTCATTACTCAAGCAATCGGAATGATCAACTCAGCCTGGGCTAAAAGCCAGGAAAAACCAAACAGATAAAAGTTGGGAGAGCAGCAACAGCTAAGAATCACAGGATTCCCTCCAGGTAGCGGAGAACTTACCCAATCATCTTAGCCAGCCATTTCATATTAACAGTGGGGGAAACAAGACCCAGAGAGGGAGAGAGAACTTGCTCAGCTAGTTTAGGAAAGAATCACCCAATCTCAGCCATTTTGATTTCCAATCTGTTATTTTCCCCTACAGAATCTGAATTTAAAGGAGGGGGTGGTCACTAATCACATAAACACCCATGTCATGAGATTATGACAGATAAGTTACCTGGCTATTCTTAAAGGCAAGTTTCCTGTTGGGGTATAAATGGTGCCAGAGAACATCTGAAATTTACTGAGGGGAAGAGAATGTATCCCATCACTGGTTTAATGTAGCTGACAAAAACTGTACGGGATAAAGCATTAAATGGCCATCTTCCCACGAGTATAAATGCTGGTCTCTCATATTGTATGATAACATGGCAAGAACAGACTGGGAAGTTCTTAAATTGAAATTGGCATTCATCTGTTTCCCTCCTAACAAATCAAAAGCAAATGTTATCCTCATATCTTTGGTGTCCGTGACATAAAGGATCCCTTGGGCAATGAAGGCATTGCCGGCCTTGGATTTGGGGTACGTGGTGTTGACGTGCTGCACCACAGAGAAGGTCCTCTCGTCCAGCTGTGCTACAAGGATGCTCGAGCCATCCACGCTGGAAGCATAGATAATCCAAAGGCCCTTTTCATCTACAGCTAAATTGAAGTATGTCTTGGAATTTGCAAAGAGGTATTTTCGATCAAAATACAAGGCGTTTTCAAGCTTCAGAGTTTGGGATGTTTCTTTGCCAAATTCAAATCTGAAATGTGCAAAAAAGTAGGTGTGAGTCACCATTTTCGTGGATAAGGGTGGTTCTTCAGGCTCCTCCGTTATACTGGGGTGGGGCCTGGGAGTCTGCATTTCTAGTAGGTTCCCAGGTCACGCCCATTCTCCTGGTCCTGCTCCAGTGCTATGGGCAGCAGGGGTGTAAAGGACAGTGACTACATCTAAGTGTGACCTCAGTAAAATTCCCTATCCTTCTGAATCCTCAGGTGTTTGCTGACCTCCTGAAATGCCCTCTCAAAGCTGCAAGGGGCCTTAAAGGAGGAACTAGTCCACTGCTTTCATTTTATGAATGAGAAAAGACGTGACTGGCCCAGGAATACAGAGAAGTGGCAGAGCCAGAGTTTAAACTCAGGCTTCTGACCTCCAAGTTTGGGGGTTCTTCCTTTACTCTAAGCTGGAGTTTTCAGACAAAAATTTCACAGCAGTCTCCATATGAAGGAGGTCAGGAGCTGAGAAGCAAAGTAGCTAAGTCATGGCTGGAAAGTCATTTGTCTTGTCTGGTAAGTGACTGGATCAATGAAGCAATGGCATGGGACCCCATGGCCCTCAGCCCCCCTGAGGCTATCTGATTTGGCAGACTCCAAATTTAGATGGATAACCAAAGTGGATTCTGAGTCAATTGCAGGAATGAAAATTCAGGGACTTGAGAGAAGAAAAGCACTAGAGAGCGCCATTGAGACACAGAAGAAACGCAAAGGGTGTGAAGCAGCAGGAATGCACCGGAGCGTAATGAACCCTTAAGAAACTCTGAAGCAAGCTGGAAAAGAACCTAAACAAGAGTGAGGGCTAGAGACAGCCCCGCTCGCCCATCTCAGCTCTCGGGGTTCTTACTCTGAATGCCCAGGATTCAGGACTCCCACTGGGTCCCTGTCCGGTCCTGGCACCTCCAGCTGCATTCCTGGATAAGGCTTGTCTCTCCCAGCAAAACAGGGTCTAATTCTAGGCTGCGTCTCCTCCTCCTCCAGCCTCTGGCCTGGGCTGGAGTAGGGCCCTGGCCCGGGTCTCCTAACCAGTGCCTCATGCAAGCTTAGTGTCATTAGAGGCCACTCTTTCTTAGGGTGGCCAGTCCACCTCTGGGGCTCATTCAGCCCTGAACTCCCCTCCCAGCACCCCATGTAACAGCAGGCCTAGATAAAGATAAGCTGGGAGGCTTACTTCTCTCTGGCTCTGGCTACTCTTGGGTCCAGACCAGCCATAAATGCAGATATGGGGTCACTCGGCATGGCCTGTGGTCCAGCAAACCCTGACTGCCCTTGGGCTGTGTGCCAGGCCCTGGGGACAGGAAGTTGGTGGAACCACAGTCCCTTCCGCTAAGTAACCGAAGGGTAACTAAAGCGCCACCCAGCAGGTGCCGGCTGGGATGCATGGGAAGGTGCTGCGGGGCAGGGAGGAGGGCGGCTGGGGCCCTGAGTGCCTCACCTCACGATGGTGTTGGAGCCTCCTTTGTGGTAGTAGAGAGAGTTGTTGTGGACCGTGTGCCCGCAGCCGTGGAAATAATACGGGAGGTGGATGAGTGTGTAACTGCCGTTCAGCAGTGACGGCTGGTCTTCGAATTCCTTCACCCTGATGCCTGCAGGAAGGAAGCCAGGGAGAGGCAATCAGAGCTTGGCAGTAAGTCAGGAGAGGAAGGTAAAAGGAGGGAAGTTGAGAGTGAGATGTCCTGTAAGGGTCCTTGCTTCAAGAGTCCCAAACTCCCAAACTCAAAGGTCAATTCTCTTCTATGTATTCCTGAACTGTCCTTTGAACATCGTAGCCACGGAGTTGCTTTTGCTCCTCCCAGGAAAACAGTATCACCCCCTCCCATAGAATTTTCTCTCAAACTGACCTAGGCAGAAATCAGGAAGAGCAAACATTGGGCATTTGTGCCGGCACCTCCTGCCCCCCATGGCAGCCATGCTGCTCACCGTCTTCCTTTTTCCTTTTGAGCCACAGAATCCTCAGCTGGTCATCTGGGCAGTTACCACTCGCTGACAAGTGAGCCTTGATGAAGCCCCGTATACCAGCTACTGCTCTGACCAGTGGGTACGGCTTGGCCTCTCCTGGAGTGGGGCCACTGCTCCCACTGTGGGCAATCCCTGACCACCTCCCTCTGGGGCAGCATGACTAGGCTTGTGCTCTGATGCAGCAGATCTGCCAGATGGCCCTTCCCCTCTCCCCTGGGCTATCTCCCCACAGACATCTGAGACAGCTGGCTGAAAGTACTCCCCTTAAAGGGGAAAGATAGCCCATGCAAAAAGAATGGGCCTCTGACATTTCTTCCAGATCATGGTTTTGGGGTTTATGAAGCCGTCAGTCGTATCGCTCTTTTGTTTCCTTCTGGATACTTTGCCAAAAATTGGATAAGCCACACAGAGGGGTGCCCTGGTCATGTCCCTGTCATCTGAACTGCAAGGCTTATCACCAGTGTGCTCAACTGAGATAAGTATTCCGCCTACTCATTTGGGCTTTCTAAAATGAAGAGCAATTCTGTTACGTCCATTAGCAGGGATTTCAGACACAAAAGGGGGATAAGCTTGAAGGGAGGTAACAGATGAAAGACACAAGACAACACAGATATGGATCATCTGCCAAGTGAAGGCACCTGAAAAATGTTCAGTCACCCAGATCCGTTCATCACTCTTGTTAGCAGACTCTCTGATCCAAGTCCCAAACGTCTCTTTAACTTTTAACACCTGTGTTGGATTTCCAATGGACTTGATCATGGATTCTACTGGAAGAAGAGAAAGTTTCTCACCCACCAATTATGACTTTAAGGAATCTGGTTTCTGAATTTCAAAACAGGACGCTTTGTTTCTGTACCTGCTTGTGGGTGTTCACTGACTTTCTCATCAGCTTTTCCAGCCAAGGTATCATCATTAGGTATCGCACACGTCTCACCTAAAAAACAACAGCCATCAGAGCAGATGCAGCTGGCACAGTGAGACTTGTCTAACTTTAGAAACTGGTGCTTTCCCCCCACCCCATTCCAGACTCCAGTCCCAGAAGCATCCCTTACAGTAGGGATGTAAGTTTTTGCTTTTAAGCAACATCACACACTCTCAGTTTCTTCCCCCTGCTTGGTGAATTCCCAGAAAGAGTTCCATGACCACAGCTGCTAAGATAGTACGATCTAAAGAGGATGTCAGTCAAAGGAAAAAGTTGCCAGGGTCAGCATCCAAGTCCTCAGCCACCTGGGGGAGAGAGAGGCTTACGGGCACATTCCTGGCCTCTCTGAGCAGATGGGATCATCAGCACAGTTCGTATTTTTTCTGGAGAGATTTTCACTTTCAGGGAAACTGACAGGGAGAAGTGAGGGAGCAGCCTCATGATGGGGTGGTCCACTGGAGCAGAATCTCAGAGAAGGAGCCTAGAGGCAGCCAGGCCCAGAGATGTTTGAGCCCCTCCCCGCCATTTCCCACCTGTCTCTCTGCTTGAAGACCTGTGGGACCCAGGTTGTTGAGGGCTGCCTGATTCCCTGCTGGCTTGAGGCTAGACCTGAGTTGGAATTCACCCTCCTTGGCTTGTCACCGTTCTCCTCAGTGTTTAGTTCAGACCTTTGGCGGAGAGGTGGCTTGGGGTGGCAGAAGCAGGACAGGAGACAGAAAGGAGGAACGTGGCCAGTGAGAGGGAGTGGGCTGGCTCGGGGGGAAGGAACCCCCTCCTGGGGACAGGGCAGGGCAAATCGGGCTTCCTGGGAAAGGTAAGACCCACTTCCCTGGACAAATTCTGAGGGTTTCAAATCACCTTGCAGTTGCTAGATAAAAAGAAGCATCTCCACGGTCACTAGGGAAACTCCCAGAACAAACTAGAAGGGTTTCTTTATCAGTACGATAAGGGAGCAGGACCCTCCGGTGCCTCTAATCTTGTAGCTGGACGAGCCTGTGTCTCTGAAGTCCTCCGTCGCCCGAAGGGGTCTATTAGATTCCCCCACGTGCAACACTGCTGCCCTGAGTTTCACCTGGAGTTTCCACTAGGGGCTTGGGGTTCACACAAGAAAGGGACAGAGAGACCCTCCTGTTCTGAGGAAAAGATCCTCATTAATTTGTGTTCTGCTTCTAAAGCTGTGGGGGTAGGAGGGGAGGTTGAAGAAATGGACTCTGAGCAGGAGAGAGGCCAAGACCAGATGCAGGATGCCTGGCAACGAGGACTCATTTCTAGGAGGCAGCGTGGAAGATACTGGCCTCTCATTTAAAGCGGTTCTCACAACTCTGGGGCCCGACCCCTGCAGACCAGCCTCAGCGGACAGGCTAGGCGGAGGAGAGCACCTCTCCAGCCCCCCGCAGTCTCGTTCACTGGCTGAAAGAGCCTCTGGCAAACTAGAATTCTGCCAAAGTGGGGTCAGACCTCCCCTTCTCTCAGGCCCAGGCCCCGTTCACAGTCTGGGGAGCTGAACTGAGGGCTGATGCAAATGGAGGGGGCGCTGAATCCAGAGAAGGAGCAGCTCCCCTGTAATTTAATGTCCTGCTGGGCAGGATGATAGTCAGGCTCTGTTTACTGGGGGTGGAGTGGGGGGGCGATACCTTTGAAAGCTCAGATTTACCCATTCTGACAGCTGCGTGTGTGCCCCCAAAATGTCTTCCAGAAAGAACAGTGCAACAAACAGAACTAAAGATTGTTTGGGAAAGTGGCAGTGAAATCCACAGCAACTGAGAAAGAAACTCGAGTCAGGACCCTATTCTCTGATGCGGGAAGAAAGGCATCAAGCTGTGTCTCCTCACGGCCTAAGTGAGGTGAACAAGTCCCTGGCCACCACTGTGGGGAGAAGTTCCAGTTTCCCATTAATATGGCCCTTGATTTCCAGTTAGCTTTCAACACTGTGGCCACCTGCCCTCGGCTGGCTTATTCTCAAAGTGTGAATTTCCATCTCCGGAAAAAGAAGATGCCCTAAGCAGGGACTTTACGGGCAGGCAGACCTGGGTTTGAATCCTAGCTCTGCAGCTCATCCACTAAGTGACCCCATTGGGCAGGCTGTGTAGCTCCCTGGGGTTCCAGCTTTGATCCGGTAAATTGGTAACAATGTGGCTCCTATGTCATAGGACTGTTGTAGAATTAAATGAACTAAGCACTTAGCGCTGTGCCTGGAACACTGTTAGCACTCAGATGTTAGTGGTGGGGATGGTGGTACTGGGGTGTGTGTGGGGAGTTAGCCAATCCAATGCCCCCGGTGTCTCTGTCTCCCTGGCATCCCTCCAGCGATGGTGGACCTGGCAAGGAAGAGTGACTGTCTGGTGGTAAGTAAGACAGATGGGGAAGGCTGGGAGGCCCCATTCTAAACCTGCCACCAGTCCTCATCCCCAGGCTGACTGCTTGGGCCTCCCAGGAGTGTGTATCAAAGGGAACACTCGCTCCAGGCAAAATCTCCTTCTATTTAAAAAATATCTGGTGGTGAAGCCGGAGAGTTTGGGATCATTAACTGAAGAGGTGGGTCTGCGGGGCAGGGGTGGGTGACCTGGGCACTGGCCGTTGAACATGTTTGGTTGCCGAGGGCCTTTGGATCTTCTGCTTCCAGGTGGCCCTGGGGGACCTGGAGGGCCTGGGGGCCCAGGTGGGCCTGGTGGGCCAGGTGGGCCTTGATCACCTTTGGCACCTGGAGAAAGAGAGAGAGAAGAAGGGAAGGGGGAATTGATTAAAGAGCTACAAGCAGAGATGGGTTTCACACAAGGTGGGGGAGAGGCCAGCGATCACCCCCGGGGAATCGCTGAGTCCCTTCCCAAGTTCGCTGTCCTCGCGCTCAGAGGGAGGGCCCATAGTAGGGCTCGAGTTCCAACCACGGGCCAGGATCTGTGGGAGGGACTTTCCACATCTCCTACCCAGCATTCCTCCCGACCACTCTGTGAGATAGTGTGAGTAGCTCCTCAATGACCCGAGTCTCAGGGGGTCCAGTGCTTTGCCCCAAGTCACCGGTGGAGTGGAGCCGGAGCTCACCCTCAGGTGAGCCTCACTCCTAAGCTCATCCTTTTTTCACTGTCCCATGTTGATAGGGCTCAATGCTGACTGCTTATCAGAATCCTCCAAGGAGCTCAGATACAATTCTAATGCTTGGGTCCCACCCCACATCAGTTAGATTGAAATGTGGGAGGAAGCTGGTCATCTGTATTTTTTAAAGCCTCCTAAGTTGCTTGCAGGTGTGAGAAGCACTGCTCTGCGGAGCAGAAGAAATCAGGGGCTCCCGTCCAGCTTTGCGACCTTGGGCAGGCAGCTTAACCCTCTGAGTCTGTTTCTTCATTTCCAGATGAAGGCTCATACTCCCTGTCCTGCCCTGTGAGACTCCACTGGGCTCACCGGGGTGAGTGCTCTGACAGTTGAACTCCCTACACATCAGCAGGTGGAATCCCTCCACACCTCTAGCTTCAGGTGGCTGGTGTGGGGGCAGCCCTTTGCAGGGGCCACTGGTTCCGGAAACTTTCATAAAGATGCTGCTAGGCTGGGATGTTCGACCCTTTGGTTCTACTCTCCCTTCCTGGGATGACTGGTGATCTAGGATCTGTTTATCTGTCTCTTCTCAGCCGCACCAAACAAGCCTTTTAGTCACTTTAGAATGGGCAAGCAGGGCTCACAGAGGCTAGGGGTGGGTCGAAGCCCACG